CTTTTAGAACATTTACTTATTTTATTCATGTCCTATAAACCAGCCAGTAATCCCCTCCGTAGCTACAAAGAGGTGACAGTTGTAGTGAAAGCAAGGTCTCCATCCTTCTGGAAGATTTTTCCCCATCGGATTTCCCTCGAATATGTTTTGATATTTCTTGACTTTGGTGGGGGGAGGGGGGGGAAGCGCCTCTCATTAGCTAATTGAATTGGAAGTCGAACGGCACACGCTAACATGCGCTAATTAGTCTTTGTTTGCGATATTCATGAGTCTCCGCGCTTCAGTCGGCTTGGATTATCCTCCGAGGGCTTTCCAGTGAGCCTCTGCCTGCCTGCTCCGGATCTCCATTCCCCTGGACGGACCATACTGAGCTCACACAGCCTCTGGTCCACGTGCTCCTCCATCCATGGCCTGATCGCTCCACCCCGTCGTTCGTTCCGTCTAAATCAGCGAAAAAACGCTGCCTTTTGTAAGCCAAGGGGGCAATCGATATCTAATTTAGTGCTCAGGTGTAGATTTTGTTTGCACACTTCTAAAAATCCTTCAGCAATAAATAAGAAAAGGTTGGCTTTTGCTTTGGGGTTTTTCATATTCCCCAAATATGGAAAAATGTTTTATTATAGCAAATAGCTGTGATTAATGGTCCCGGATTTAAGCATTAGAGTAAATTATGCGATCCAGAGGCTTTAACCTGATCCCACTGCTGATTTTGATCTGTATAACATGTAAACAGGGAAAAAACCTCATACTGGTGAAGTTCTGCCAACTCATTTTTACCCATAATCCCCCATTATTTTGGGGATTATGAGTAAAAGTGAGCACAACATGGTAAGAGCTAAGTGACTGGAAGATGGATGGATGGATGGATGCACACTGGCTTTTTATTTTCAGATTCTTATCCTCCCGGTGGTCCGTGAACCAAACCGCGAGTGTTTAACTTTCGACCCGTCATAAACCATAGAAGTCAGACGCAGTCGTTTGTGTGAATTGCTCCCGTAATGATGGACTGAAAAGTGTTTTTATCCATCTACCACTCTTCACCTGAGCCTGGTGCTTCGCGAGCCGGCCTTTATCCCCTATCAAAAAAAGCGGGACGCGTCTGCCCATGGGGGCGTCCACAGAGCCTTGGGGGGGGGTACATTCAGGCCGAAATGCCTGGCAATAATTGGCGCCATAAGTGCTCAAATTGCTGCCTCCATTACCACCCCGTAAAGGCCCATGCTTACTATTCATTGACCGGCTGACAATTAAGAATCGTGACACTCGTTTTCTACAAAATGACAGACCCCTTATACTCATCCTGCAGTGATGATAAGTGCCCTTAAACGAGTCCTGATCGACATCTGGGCTGGAAGGTGCGTCCTGAGGTCTCCAACACGAAGCTTAACCGCCAGGCTACAGTACGTCCTTGATGACGACAGCGATCCCGGTATTTACCGTGACCCAATGACTCACCCCACACTTTATTCTGAAAGAGCAGAGTTTAAGGCGTGATAATAAATCTTATTGTTTTGAGCTAGCTTTACCCCCACCTCTCCCCCCACATTAATAATTGCTAGGTACACAAGGTTATTTTTTTTCATATTGACCGGGTTTGTAGTTGGATATGATCTACACGGGGCAGGGGGGAGCATAGGCGTCATACCCTCTGTCGGAGAAAAGTGACAGACTCGTCGCCGTGCATTCTGGGGAAAAAAACTGACGAGCCTTGCAGTATCATTTGTCGTCGCGATTAGAACAGTGACTCATGCAAAGGGGGAGGGGCGGGGTTAGAAAATAAAGACAGAGACGAGGCAGCGAGCTTCCCACATTTCCCAGAATCCTCCAGAATGCCCAGCGAGTAGATGAGTAGCATTGCCGTGGTGTTCGCACTCCTCACTCACGCTTGCACACCGGCAAGCAAACCTCACACCTGTCAAACAGGGAAATGCAGGAGATACAGCCATTGGTGGACCCACCCTTTTCCAGACTATCTTCAGCCTCATTAAGGTGTGATATCAGACTTAAAGCAAGGCCGGTATTTTCCAGTGGGGGGCAGGGCTTCCATGTGACCTAGCAACCTGGCATGGGACGTTGACGGAGAGGCATATCGTTAAGCGGATCAACATGAGAGGGGCGACATTTAACATCAGACACCGCAGAGTTAGTCCGAGTGAGCCTGTCCCTCTGTCACTACGGTGTGACAGCCAGAGATCGCTGAAGGTCACCGAAAGTCAACGATATCAAACAGCCGGGGGTTTGCAAAAAGGTTAATGAAGCAATTGTAAAAGATGATTTATCTTGTAAATGTCATCATTTTTCAGCGGACTTTCTCTGGCAAAAATGATTAGCTTCCCTTTTACCCTCATGCCGTTTATTGAAATATTGGAGTGATTTTTAATTTTTTTTTTATCTGCATTGAATAATTATGTTTCAGAGCATGAAAGCAGCTTTGTACACAAAAACACATACCATTCACCCATATGAATTAATTACTAGCAACTAATTAAGTTTTCAGCATGAAAAGATGTTGCACAATTATTTTGCAAGTTTAAATTTGCTGTAAATTAATATAAAAATTAACAGAATGCCGATAAACTAAGTACAAATTTCAGGTTAATAACATGTCAACGATTTGATTTATGACTTTGGGGGAAAGGACTGCATCTATTGGGTGTTCTTTTTTAACAAATAAAACGGAAACATTTACTTTTATTATTAAGTGAAGATTCATCAAACCGGGCCTTTGGAAATTCAGTGGCTGCCGGAAATGCAATCAGATACCAGGATGAATCTCAAGGACCCACAACATTAGTTCTCTCCTTTCAGACGGCTTTGTCTGGGAGCCACTTTATATCAGCAGGTACTGTTGCTGGCACCAAAAGGTCACCACGGATTCATCAGCCATATCAGAGTTTATCAATATTAAAGCCAAAGTATGAAACTTCTGATTGGTCCCCTTGCCGCCCAGAATGAGTTGGGGGAGAGACAGTAACCAATCAGCTTTCAAACTTCGCTTTAAAGGCACAACGGCCCTTTCCGCAACCCTCGGGAGTCCCTGAGATGCTGCTGTACATGGGGCTGTTGTGCTTGTCATTTAACCCTGAAAGGCTTAAGAGACGGCCACACTCTACAACATGTGAGTGGCATGAGCCTGAATTCATTTCAAAGCCATTTTGTTTTTCACCATTAAACTAAACTGAAAGCACCCCCTGTGCATATAATGACAGCCTTGTTAATGTAATAACTGCAGTCATTTTTCAGGAATTATTATTATTTATACAGGATCACAGCACAGGATTATAAATTAGTGTTTCCTTTAAATATTATCATTATATTTTCTCATTTAGCTGGAGTTACATTTCCTTTTGCGCCTGGCAGTTACAGCGTTTGTTAGTAAATATGCAGATCCCAACGTCGCATGGTCTGACTAAAATAATGCAGTTACCCTGTGCTTTAATGCCATCGACGTTTCCCTTGAAGTCACCTGCTGGTACATAAATTGCGTCGGGTTTCCACATCTTCATCCTCTCTTTGTTTTTTTGGTCTGAGTGTAATACGACTGGTAGAAGTCCGCCCACTCGTGAGATCTTGAGGTTCTCCACATAATGAAAAAGATCTAAGCCTCAACAAACAGCAATATCGTCCTGCTTTTGGGACTTGAGTAAATTGGTTTGCCGCCGAAGTAGACAAGCCTAGCGATATCCCCGCGGGAGCTGAGCCGCCGGGCCGTATGAGATACACCCCAAGCGTCAGCTTTAATTAACTTTTTTATTTACTAAGAGTAAAGGTGAGTTTTATGTCTCGAGTATTGACACAGAACTTCATTACGTTGATTATATCGCGTTCCGTCGGGGAAAACGCTTTTCCGGAAAAGGCTTCCCGGCACCAGTGTCCAACAGATGAAGTAGGAAATGGAGGTTAGATGCCCGCCTTAGGACGAAATGGGATCCCGGACGTAACGATATGGCATAATTAGTGTCAGAGAACAATCGGTTTGAGGAGCGGGAATCGTACACGATAAGCTCACTGTAAGAAGCAGTTGATGCTGCTCTATTTGTTACTTTAAGGTCTTTTGGGGAGTCAGTGTCACCACAAATAGGTGGACGTCTCTATTGCCTGCAAATCATCTTTCTGGCCAGGCCGCAGCAGCAGACAGGACGGCTAATCAATCACAGAGGCTAATCCCACAGACAGACACACATAGCAAGGGCCAATTAAAGTCGCCCCGTCACCAGAATGTGGGAGGTCACCTTCTCATTCTTAGCCACACAAAAACCCGCAGAAGTTCAAACACACTCTTTATTTTCCTCCTTTCTTTAATTTCAGTTTTCGCCTCACGCAATATAGACACCCCTTAAAAAAAAAGAACACCCTTTGAAGACAAATGCCGCTTGAATGTTGTTTTTGCAGCAAAGGCAAATAATTTATTCCTGCCCAATGTGCAATGTGCAGGAGACATTCATCATCAGACAACTGAGAGCCGCCATCTCATAATTAATGTTTTTCTCCGGTCCAGATGGCAAGACGTATTAATAAAAACGGGGACAATAAATATAATTTAAAGCAGCGTTCGGGTTTAGTAAATGGAAAATGGATGGCACAATGATATCCGTCTCGCCCGCTTGTTAAATCTGTACGCTGCTGGGGATACAGGAATAGAAAGAATAAGGTTTTCTCTTTTGCAGTAGTAAATGAACCGCTTCTGCTGTGCTCCATTCGCAGGTTTGGAGGTGAACTCAGCCCTGTGAGCATGCGGAGATCGCTTGTTTTATTTCATGCTTGACTCGCACGGTGCTCAGGAAAGCGTGTGACTTCCTCTCCGGAGTTTTCCCCACCTCACCTTCTGTACTTCCGGAACAAGTAGCCGGAGGTTGTTAAAGAGTGACGCGTTTTGTTTAATGACTTACAGCGGGGCTGTCTTAAACCTGTTACATGAAGAAAGGTTCTGACTCGACTCCAGGGCCACTCCTGAGCATTTTGTACATGGTTGAAGGGATTAATTTCCTGTGTGTTGACCTGGGGAGTGTGAAAATGGATTCCTGGCCTACTGGTAAGGTGGTGAGGTTTGTTAAGTTTCAGCCAGGGAAGGTGGACGGGGCTCGAGGCTTGTAGATGTCAGAGCGGATCTCAGGACCCGCAGGAATCTTAGAGGGTAGAACAAGTATACATGAGCTTCCCCTTACATGACCCTCATTAAGGTCTGACGGAGAACCCACACGGTGGTGTACATTGACCTCACCTGTAGGGGGCAGTGTAGCCATTCCAGGGGCCGTTGTGAGTTGTAGCCACGGGGGACCAGCCTTCAAACCTCATCACACACCGCCTCCTGTTGAAAGCACTACAGTTATTCAATTTAGAATGCATTTACTGCTTTCGTAATCAAGCTGACAAGAAGCCACAAAGACGGTCCTGATTTATGTACAGAATCGACGCGGTACCGACTGCCATGTGATGTTTTTAAGTAACAGCTTCTATGGGAACCCTTACGTAGGGATAATTAATTTTGCGGCGTGTTTTTAATTACTCCATGATGGCGTCTAGGTGGCGGAGTCGCGCGGTACCCCCTAATCACTGGCATTCACGCGCAGCGTGGATTCATCCTGTAATCCTCTTATAGGAAATAATCTTTCCCGCAGCAGGAAATTAATTATCAGCATGAATCAGAATAGGGGACGTTGTAAGTCAAGCGGTCGCCGCCACGTCGGAGGGAGGCTATCCTTTTCACGTCTTTCTGATGATGTCTCAAACCTTTGGTACTCATGAGAAGAAATCGGAGACTGCAAAAAACACCATAGTCCTTAAACGTCTAATCACGCGTCTGATCGCGTCGACATTTAGGCGTACGAAGTGCATGTATATAAGGCGTTTAAAACACTCTCCCCTGTGTATTCCTCCTCAGTTGTGCAGCGTGAGAATTCATTTAATTGGCGGGATAAATTTGCATGTTGTAACGATTTAATAATATTCGGGAAAAAAGATGACAAGCGTGCTGACAAACGCCCGCTTGTTCAGGCTGCTGTAATAGTGAAAGTTTGTGAACCTGTCTCCAGTAATGAATTAGTAATACCACCATCCTAAAAATATAGTTAAAAAAACGATAAATGGGGAATATTTTACCGACATTATGCTATTAAATATGAGAATGGCTGCTTTTGGTCCGCAGGTTCATTTGCAAGCTAAATAAGAAATAACTCACCTGTCACGCTAAATTTAGAAAACGCAGGTTTCCCACGTGGCAGCGGGTGATTTAATGCCTGTTTGCCTGCACTCAGTCATGTCCCAAAATGGACAGTGTTTCAGGTAGACAGCAAGGTCAAAGGATTATTTCTTAACATCTCTTCCTTCTCCAGTACCTGCAAGTAGCCAGGCGATGCACAACACCTCGACGTTTCCTTTGGGATATTTCGTATTTTTTTCCTGCTTTCCACAGGCCTACCTGCACACCCATTTGTACACGACAAGGGTTAGCTTACGCCATCGATATGCCCAGCGCCTTGGAGTAAATCTAATTATGCGCAACCAGGTTTTCCCTAAACCGGCATTTACATTAAATTCCCCCTCATACTCTTGGCTGCAAACTCAATTTGACGTTTTTATTTCTGTTCCCGTAACCCATGGAGTTTTCCCTGCTTGTCTGTCGGACGTGTGGGATTCATTTCTGCATTTCGTCATGTACACGTATTTAGATGCCGGGCTATATTCAGGCAGGCAGAGATGCTTTAAGTCTGTCAGTCAGGTTTTATTAGCGTTGCGCCCATCAGCCCCGGAAATTTGGCCCCCGGCTGCGGTCTCAAGCCAAAAAAGAGCGTCGGCACGTTCGGTAGTCACCCAAGCGCACGATAGGCTACGTCTCTTTGCGCTTCCTCGAATGAATAGCATAGCGCAGATTTTCGGAAACAGGCAAAAACGTGATTATGTTGTCAGCAAACGCGATCGGCGACTGCTGGCTCTCAGAGTAAACCGAAGCCTCGTGTGTAAAACAAGGACAAACAGCCACGGATTCATCTGCCTCCATTTGATAAAGAGACATCGGGGCGGACTGCAGTCAACGGGGCACAAAAACGCCCAACGCGGAGCCGCGAGCCTCTCCTAGGAAATACTGAATTTCATCCAGAAAAAAACATGTCATTCCATTATTTAAGCAAAAATGGTGCAGAGATATCTCTAAATTGAAACTGCCTTTCACTCTCTAATGAGCATTGACAGGACCTAATAAAACGTTCACTGCTCCCGGCAACTCTGACAACTCTTAAATATCTGAAGAATAAAAGGGAGCGAGACTCGCTGCACACAGAGATAAACATGTCTGCTCCCTTTTGTTTATACAACGTTGATAGTCTGTGAGTAAGGCAAACAATATCAGTTAATAGACCTAATAGTCTCGTGACAGCATTTGTGCTTATACAGATCAGCAGTAACATAAAACCACTGACGGGAGAGGGGGAGGTAAATAACACTGATTATCTCATTACATTGGCACCTGTTGAGGGGGCCATTATATACTCAGCACGTGAACAGTCAGTTCTTGAAGTTGATGAGTTGGAAGCAGGAAAAATAGGCAAGCATGAGGATCTGAGCGACTTTGACAAGGGCAGGATTGTGATTGCTAGACAACTGGGTCAGAGCATCTCCGTAACGGCAGGTCTTATGGGGTGTTTCCGGTATGCAGTGATCAGTACCTACCAAAAGTGGTCACAGGAAGGTCAACCGGTGAACTGGCAACGGTCATGGATGCCCAAAACTCACTGATGCACGTGGGGAGCGAAGGCTATAGCCCGTCTGGTCTGATCCCACAGGAGAGTGACTGTTGCACAAATTGCTGAAAAAGTTAATGCTGGCTATAATAGAAAGGTGTCAGAACACACAGTGCATCACAGTTTGCTGCGTTTGGGGCTGCGCAGCTGCAGACCCATCACATTGCCCATGCTGACCCCTGTACACTGTCGAAAGCACTAGACCATGGAGCAGTGGAAGGTAGTGACCTGGTCTGATCAGTCACAATTTCTGGTACACTTGGCTGTCCACATGATGCCAGGAAGCACTATGGGAAGAAGGCAAGCTGGGGGAGGCAGTGTGATGCTCTGGGCAATGTTCAGCTGAGAAGCCATGGGTCCTGGCATTCATGTGGATGTTACTTTGACACGTACCACCTACCTAAACATTGCTGCAGGCCAAATACACCCCTTCATGGCAATGATATTCCCCGAAGGCAGTGGCCTCCTTCAGCGGGATAATGCACCCTGCCACACTGCAAAAAAATGTTCAGGAATGGTTTGAGGAACATGAAAAACAGATCAAGGTGTTGACTTGGCCTTCAATTTCCGCAGATCTCAATCCAATCGAGCATCTGTGGGATGTGCTGGACAAACAAGTCCGATCGATGGAGGTCCCACCTCGCAACGTACAGGCCTTAAAAGGTCTGCTGTTAACGTCTTGGTGCCAGATACCAGAGGACACCTTCAGAGGTCTTGTGGAGTCCAAGCCTCGACAGGTCAGAGCTGTTTTGGCAGCATGAGGGGGACCTACGCAATATTAGGCAGGTCTTTTTAATGTTATGTCTGCTGTGATTGTGTTAAATGTAATAAATATAAACATCTCCATGCAATTTATACTTTCCATATAATTCTTGCCAGCTACTTGGCAGATCCTGCATAGAAATTTAACCTTGGAGTATGTTTATATTAATGCAGTCCAGCGTGGGAAATATTGACGTATTTCTGCAGGTCTGAGGTGATTAATATTTCCCGAGAAACACATCCGCACCCACCAACAGCCCTGAGAGGCCGTGCAGGTCCAGCACCCTGAGGACTAGGCTGGTTTTTTTTTGCCTGCAGTGCAAAGTAGCGAGAGGATGAAAAATGATTTGTCACGCTGTTATGAATGAGAGAGCAAGCGCCGCCATTTTCCGTTTGTGGCACCAAGTGCGCAATTGACTAATAGATACGTTCACTTGCAGGACATTAGTCAGCTTGCCTATAAAAAGTAATTGTCTAGAGAAAGTGTAACTTTGTAACCTATTTTTCCTTTTCCGAAACTAGATATCTAGCACTAGTTAGCCCTAGTTTAACCGGTGCGGTGCTGCGGTCAGCACATAGTCTCTACCTGTCGTTTAAATGCTATTTACATCTACCCTTTCAGAATATGAAACTGTATCTGGATCCATTAAAAATGTTTCTAAGTAATCCTTATAATGAATCTGTCAATTTATTACGAATACTTAAGTCTGCGGCAAAGCAATATCCATTTTGGCAACCTACAGCATCGAAAAAACACATTAATGCGACGTTTGACCATCCATAAGATGGCAAATGAATCAGAAGAGGTTAAATTGATAAAGGTTTTATTACTTTATTACTCCATATTTAAACTGGGAAAACATTGCATATTTCACGCCCTGACTGTGAGTGCCCTGGGGATTTATAATAGATTTCACATTTTTAAAACGGATAGGGAAAACAGCGATATGTTCAACCTCATTTTTAAGACCAGCTGTATCCACGCCAGCAGTAGCCATTAGAGAACGAATTGGCTCGTTCATTTCGTTTTTTTCCTCCAGGTATTTGGCCAGATTTACCTCGCATTAATTAATAATGTTCTTGCTGCAAGTTTGCCGCTATTAATTCAAGCTAAGTCGACTTCGGTTCCATGCTTGGAGTTTAATTTTATGGAGTCGAGGTGACAGGACAGTTCCCATTACAATTATTAGTACAGGCGTTGGCCAAACTGAGGCAAAAACAGGCAAAATTTTGTTTATTAAACTGTAAATGTGAAATGTACTGACGCTGCCTTGGAGAAGCCCCCACCTTGGGGCAGAGAAAAAGCCCACAAAGACGAATCGGTGCCCTGTCGCCACCCACGTGTTTAGTTAGCTTTGCACGGATACCTTTGGATCCGGTGTCCCCGAGCCCCCAGTCGGACAGCGGGGTTAATTATGCATCAGGTTGCTTAGAGATTTAGGGGCGGATAGCTTCACCGTGCACACGAAAAGGGCCGGGGAACAGGGCTGTGTTATTAATCACCGCTGGGGCTGGGGGGCAGCTTAATCCTCCAGCGAGGCTGTCCGAAGACCGAGAGTCCCGCATTAGCGTGAGATCATACGCGCTGTAATGTTTCATGAGAACTGCTCCCGTTAGGTTTTCAGGGAACTGTTTAAATCCCCGTGTGTTTCTCTTACTCAGTGTGAATGTCGGCGCTTTTGATCCAGGTCTGAGGTCACTACAGTCAGCCTCTGTGGCTGAGTTCACCCCGTTTGCTGAACGGCTACAGGACGGCCAAATACACTCAGTCAGTTAGTAGGCAAGGAAACTGGGTTACCTGTAGTAGACTTAGCGGTACCCGGGTGGGGGGGGGGGGGCGAGGTATGCAAAATCCACACACAGACATGCAAAACTGGGTCCTGCTTTGCCGGAAGTCTGGGCTATTTCTCTCTGGACCACTCAGCATACCCAAATAAAATATATAAAACATATTTTTCCTGTCTACCCAAAAATATACAAGGCAGCCATTATAAATGTTTACTCCCGAACGGCTCTTTTTTTTTCCTCTAGGCTTGATATTTTAGTAAAACAGTCCAGCTTTCTCCCGGGTATACAACATAAGGTCTCTCTTGGGAATACGAATTCAAAAACATTTGATCACAGCCCACTGCCTGGTAAAATACCTCTGCAGAATACACAAGGAGCCTTGCAGGTTTTTTCTTTCCCTCCGAAAGATATTTCATCGCTTCTTGTGGGAGGAAGGAAAAATCAATTAATGCAATCTTTGTAAGCAGACAAAGTGAGTGAGCGAGCCCCCCCCCCCTTGGTGGGAATAGGCCCAGCTGGGCGAGCTTTGTTACCGCTGAATGCGGTCAGTAAATGTACCATGCAGGCGTGTTTTTCTGATTAAAATTGATTCTGATATGGAGACTCGTTTGCAGAGGGTACGGCGTTATTTTATCGCAGCCTTTGCGCTGCTGGTACGGCCCGCCGACTTCTGGGGGGGGGGGCATAAATGTCAGGGTCTCCAGGCCCCGGCACGATGGCAGGGGTACAAGGAGTGCGGTATAAGAGAGAGAGACGTTCACACAGAGAGAGGAGCGTAACTGATGACCAGCGTGTGTAAAAATGGTGTTTTAAACAAACCTGTATCCTGGTGCACGGGTCAATAAGCAGATACAGGGGCGCTTTGTAAGACGCTGTCAAAGACACACCTGCACCATAACGCACTGTGACAATACACATCTAACACACGGATATAATGCCATTAAAAACACACCTTTCTCCATTCTATCCATCCATCGATTTTCCTTAACTACTTGTCCTATTAAGGGTGACAGGGGTCTGGAGTCTATTCCGGAGGCTACAGGCACAAGGCAGGGGGAACAGCCCAGGATGGGGTGCCAACCTGTCACAGGGCACACTCACACACACACTCACACACTAACACACACTCACGGGCAATTTGGTGTTTTTGGACTGTGGGGGAAAATGAGGAAATGGGAAGAACACGCAATCTCCACACACTGAGCCACGGCAGAGACTCGAACCTTGGTCGCAGAGGTGTGCAGTAACAGTGCTAACCACCGCACCACTGTGCCGCCCTCCCTCACTGTAAGATACTGTTAATCACACGCTTGGTTCTGCGGTGCTGCTAAACGCACACCCGTGTTGCATCACTCCTGTACATGAGTGGGCTATTCCGCGAGGATACGTGTGGGAATGGGGTCACAGAGATCAGCGTCGGCGTTTTCCGGATCCTGCGGGAGTGACGGCAGCATGAAGCTCCCCTGGTTTTGAGGAAT